CAGTCCTTCAAGCTCCCAGTACTGCAGAGGTGCCTAGCCTTAAATTTAGCCTCATCATTTGGGTAGAATCTGTAATAGCACGTTGCTTTTAGCCTTTGCAGTTTGGGAACGTCAGACCAACACTCATTTAAACACTATTCAAGAGCCTCTTAACCTCACTGTAATTTCCTATCTATCAACTTTAACTGATGCTTTTAAGGACAAACTTTCTGTAGTGGTTTTAACAGAAGGATGTGAGGGAAAACCACATGTATTTGGAAGATCTCTTAAGACCCTTGACAACACTGGCAATTTTAAAGCCTTGTGCAACTGGAAAGAGGATGACTCGTACTTGACAGATGCTGGTCACGTTGCTTAATACATTCTGGGAAGGTACTCGGATACTCTAGCCATGAAATTGTACATAGCTGGGGATTATCACTAGATGCACTAAAAAAAAAAAAAAAGGAATGAGCAGTTGCACATTTTTCTTTGTGTACTCAGAAAAATTCTGAGCTTTTTTAAAAGCTTCTCTCACTTCCCCCTCCTTTTCTTCTCTCTTACTCATATGCAGTCATCACTGGCTCTGCATCAGGAAGACTGCATGACCACAAACATTACCAGCAACAGTCTTATGGCAACCAAGCATTCTGAAGAGATGAAAGAAGTAAAAAGCATTCTTCTATCAAACTGGACACCAAGACATTAATGTCTGGCCTGTTAACACACCGTGACTCCCAACCATTCATTGAAGCCTCCTGTACATCCTGCTTTTACCAGGTTTGATGCTTGTAAAGTTTTCCCATATGTAGACGGTTGTGTTGAGAGACAGAGCTCAGACTAAATAGCTTTAAGAAAAACTTCCAGGCTGGCAATGCATCAAGTTATTATTTTTCAGAAATTGTTATCCTCAGCAAATTGCTGTAGCTCATCCTGTGAGCTCTGCAATGTCCAGGGAATGGGGCAGACCACCACAGAGCTGCCATCCAACATATACTGCAGCAAGAATACAGTACTACAGCACACAACGTAATGAAGCGCTATAGCCTTCTTGCACCATCCCACTCAAATCCACGCATGCTAGAGACAATACTTAAGATTGGCACTTATTCATAGCTTTTAACACTGTTGGACTAGAATTTACATGTTTTAGATCAGGTTTAAACATGCCTTGCAAGAGCTGTTCCTGCAGACCTCCAAAGATCTATGTCACCCTTATGGATTCAGTAGGCTTACTCATTAATTCAAAAAAAGAAACGGCACAAAGGTCCAAAAGAGTCAACAAAGAACTTTACAGTAAAAATCCTAGAGTTTAGGAACTACTCATGCAGGCACATGGGCTACTACTAGATCTTAAAAGATTGATTTCACAGTGGCTTTTATTAAATCTTTAGGAAAAAAGCCTGCGGAATTGACACTTCTAGAAAATATTATCAGCAACACTAATTTAAATATGCACAGAAAGCTGAATTCTGAACACTTAAAAGCCAGCGTTTTAGAGAAGATATTCAGCTACAGAGTTCTCACACTAAGTCAGTAAAACTCATTTTTGCCCCTATTAGTCAGAACGACTGAAGCACATATTTTGTAATAAAAACTTTCAGGCTGCCTTTTGGCATGAAAAAAGAAAAAAATCTGTCCCAGTTATGTAAGTGCAGCCTGGTATGTGGATTACTTTTAAATTCATGCATTTTATGCATGACTGTTAGATACGACAAAAGAAAGTGGGTGACTTCCTAGCAATTGGGGCACAGATACAGAGCTTCTGCATGTTAGTATTTCAGGAGGTGATTGGTAAAAATCGTGAAAATACTTAAGGGCAGCTTTGCTGTGACAGATACTACTTAAAGATTACTAGGCAACTCAGATCCAATTGGAGTACAAGATTTTTTTAAAACTGTAGAATTGTACAATAGCTAAGTGTAAACCAAAAGCTTTGATTCTTTAAAGCTTCACAGTTTAACTCAATATATTCAAAAGAAAATTACATGGATATAGTACCTCATGTTCTTAGCAAACATCTACGCTTCATCAAAGTTACCCTAGACCATCTCTAGTTGGAAGATTCTCATTTCTGACCAGCTTAAAGCTGAGTTTGGAAATTTATTGCATGTTTACCTGTCTTCAGACATTAAATGGGATATACAAAGGGACTGCTTTCTAAATGAACAGTTCTACTAGTATAACCACCACAATCTGTTTTTGCTGTGAGCACATCACTAGCATGCATCTAGTACTCAAAGAGGTAAGCACAGTTACAAAGTACAAAACTTTTACAGGTTAAAAAAACCCAAAACAAAACAGAAAGAAACAACCACATGCACACACAAATCAGGGAGAAGTGCTTTAACAGTCTCCATCCAGGAATCTCTGTACTTGTATCTCTACAGCTTGATATATTAATACCTTCCTCCATATTCTACTAGGAAAACTGCAGTGTAAAGTTAATCATATCCGCAGTGACTCTAGGGAAAAATCCCTGCTCTCAAAAATTCAGCTTTTTTCGGAGGATGGATGACTGCAGAGTTAATGCTTATTTTCAATTAGCTGTGAGTATCTATTTAAAGTCCCTGTTTAAACATGGAATTCAGTTTTTATACTTAATATAAATGTAATTATGTTTTGCAATGTTTTATAATTTTAAAAAGTCTTCCAGAATCCAGAGTTTAGATTTTCAATGTTTATTATGAATCACATTCACAGTGCAATACAAATTACATAAAAAGCTATACAAAAAACATACAAAGGCTACATAAAGCACGTACCATTCTGTAATGCATACAATGGCTGATGCTTAGGCTAGAAGTGTTCTTAACACCTGTTAGCAAGAAACTGAAGTCAAAAGATAAATAATTGGATTGAGAAACTCCTTCATTATATGCCAAAAAAAAAAAGCAACACTCTGCTTTTCTTAGCATGTAGAAAAGTTTTTCCACTGTTTCAAGCCTAGATTAATTTTCAATTAATCATCCTGTCCTCCAGCAAAAGTAGTCACAAAAAAATCAATTTAGCACTTTGCTTCCAGAGCAGGTTGATGATACAAGAAATAAACTCTAAACATACAGATAATGATGTGACAGCATACAAGTTTAGAAATATAAGTAAAAGTTCAGAGACCAAGATGGTCCAATATATGCACTGCTCATCTAAATTACACAATGACAGTTCTGAAGTACATTACACAATTTTAATGTACTGTCCATACCAGAGAAATACATTTACTGTACGTGTCTAGAATAATTCCTGCAAATGTTCATTGATGAGTTGCGCTAGTATTTTGGAGATCGATCAAAGATTTTTAGCTGTTTTCACAGCCTCTCCTCACACATATAAAAAAACCACCTGGCTGGCTAAGTGCAAATAAGTGGTAATTTCCACTACCAGTCAGATTCTGGTGGCAGTTTGATTTTTATTTCACTTTGTCAAATAAAAACATTTCACAGAAGCAACATTTTTCTTACCTTCAGTACACCAATGGTTTAGTGACTTCAGGAGATTTCTTCCTTATTTAATCTATGCATAACTTTAACAAGAGGTCCTAAGGACATTCTTGATACATAGTTTAAACTAAGGGTAAGTATTTGCCTAGTAGCAACAAAATGACAGCTCCGAACATCTCTTGGGCATGACACAATTATGAATTCCAGAACAGACTCTTTCATGTGCTGATTCTAAAAAATTAGAAAGAGATGTGTTTTTAGCCACCTACTTTTGCAGCTCTAGAGCTGTGAAGCTGACGAGTCGAGACTCATCTTCAGTTAAGACGCACAAGATCTTCCCTTTTGACAGATGACCATAATGAGGAAATTATTGCTTTAGCACCTCAACGCAGTCCCAGTCCGTTCAACGGGTTGCAAAGGCTACATAAACTGACAAGTCACAATTTTAATTAAGAAATTTGGTTTTGTGTGTCTGCATGCACAATCTGTTCAAGTATTACAGAGGGCTTGGAGACCTGGACATAATCTTTAAGTTCACGTAGAAAAATCAGTAAGGATGTAATATACAAAAATATATCAATCATGTATTTAATATCCATATAGCTTTTCATTCTAATCTGCATTATACAGCAATAAGCATCCTTACTGATCACTATTCAAATGCATCTCCCAAAATGCTAGTAGCACTTCTTCGATCTGTTTTTAGAATTAATCCAAAATAAATCCTATAGCAGTGTGTAGTACTTTACAGCCAAATTTTCAGTACTACTACTGAGTGTAAAAACCCTTCTCCTGGGGTCTAGCGAGGAAGAGCTTTTTTAATGCTATCAGAGCCCTCCTCTGTCTCCTGGCTGCTGTATGTCCCTTCTAGCAAACAAGAACAATGCCAGAGATTTATTGCTCCAAGTCCAAGGGAACCTCATGTATATCCCATACACGACCCGGGAATACTGGAGGCAGCTGTATCACCAGAGACCCTGCCCGAGTGGGCCTTACAGCATCTTCAGCAGAGCACTCACACTCAGAATTCTCCTCAAAGCCCAAGAGCCTGGCGAGTGCTCACTTACCAGAATGCTGTTATGACAATTCTCGGCATAAATGCTGCTGCAAAGAACTTTATTCAAAAAAGATGCTGAAGCAGAATAAGCCAGATGTACATTTTATAAGTCACGCACTGCTTCTGAAAGCATGCTGTAAGGCAAATTCATTTCAGACTAGGCTTTCAGAAAAAGTTAATGACTACAGCTTCCTCCCTGGCCCCAAGTAAAGACAAATTCGCAGGTGGGAAAGTTCTGAACAGCAAGTTTCACATAAATGCACTTTCTAAACAACATGTCTGAGTTAAAGATAACAACTACTACTGCATCGAATTTGGATCAGCATTGCATTTTTCAAATATGTATTACCATTAGATGTTAACAAGATATATTCAAGTGTCCACAGAAGTTTAGAAAACACTGTAAGAAGTTAGTAGAAAACCTCCATTGCTTCTGGAGCTGAAATATAAGTTTCAAACACAACACACATGGGGAGCTATGCCATTTACTCCAGTTCATGTAATATGGTGTTAAAACCACCAGTAGCTTTATAAAAGGGATAAATGAGAAATATAAAACGAAACGACAAAACTTCTCATACACTACTGCGATACTCAAGCCAAGTGATATCCAAGTGCCAAGACAAACCGTACATGAACACCTTCACGTTAAACTTCACATTCCCATCTGCATGTCAGCAAAGTTGTAGAAATTGTCTACATCTTGAGACGCTGATGCCTTGCTCTTCGATACAAAAACCTGTTTTATTAAACAAGGAAATAGTTATGCATCACTAATAAAGAAGTTCAAGTAGTCTTTGCTCATTCGGAGCCAGTAATTGTTATTTTTATTCTTGCATTTCATGAAAGGCACAATTCTGTTGGTTTTCACTGTGTGATAGAATAGTCTCAGAATTCTCTCAGCCCTCCTGCACCCTTCATTACGGTCACCTAGCAGACATGCTAGCAGCAGTAACCCTACACTTCCACTGACTGGAATTAAAAGTTTTGGGCTCAATTATTCAAGGGTCACAGCTTCAGCTAGTGTCCATTTTGCTTGGTGAAGTCAAACTCTGTCCAGGAAAGGGAGGAAACAAACACACAAAAACCTGAGACTACCAATAAGCTTTCCTTTAACAGAAAGGCAGAGTTTGTAAGAAAGACTCCCTTGCATTGTATTCCCCTCAAAAAACTTCATTGCTTCTTCATGAGATGATTTTTTTAAAAAAAAAATAACCTCAATTACATTTGCATTTTGTAAAACTGATCAATGCATGTGAAAGTCCAAGCTTACTAGGACAATAATCTTTGAAAGCTTTCAGCAAATCAACTACAAATATCTTAGGCAATGCCCAAATAGTTCAGTGTAACAGTGTTGTGGCTGTTCATCAATCTCAACATGCAAGTGATAGCCTCAATCAAAAACTTAAATTGAGTTCTTACTATCTTATATTTTCTATACCTCAGGAGGAAATCATCACCATCTCAGCACATCATTTGTTGGCACAGCCAACTGAGCTATTCTGAAGTGCACCGGGACTGTAGGAATGGGTTATTCCAGATGACTGTGCTCCTACAGCCACCGCTTTTCTGCTTCAGCTCAGAATACCATGTGAATGTAAACTATGACAGTTCCTTGAATTTGTTTACTTAAACTATGTTTTAAGATTAGTATCCTGTTGTCCAGTAAAATTCTGATTTAAAAAAAGACTGCATCATCACAAAGCAAGTAGTTTCCTAGACTGTTGCTTGGACACATGGTAGACTTCTGTTTGAAAGGACTTGAGAATATCTACTAATTATTTGGCAGTCATTTGGTGCGACAGCAATTGGTACCGTGGTCACAACAGTTGAACACCTTCTGTCCTTCCCTACCAGGATACTACAATTTACATTTTGCATTTTACATTTATGAGTAAGCGATGAGATGGAGGAACAATACTAGAAAACATGCCAAAAGAAAGTGTAGAAGGTCACACCAGAAAGAATGTCAAAGGTAGAGAGAGTGCAGATGTACCTAGTCCACACAAATGGGAAGTCTGCTTAAGTGCATAGTGTAGAGCTCTCCTTGTAACACATTGTTTCTACCAAACAGCTCAAAAAAATGGTGATCCTATTGCTGAAGAACTTTTCTACCCTTACTGGAGTATCTGGAGCTGTTTATCAGATTTATTTTAGAAACAAAAACCTGGTGAAATTAAGGTTATTAACAGATGAATTTAATAATTTTTAACTGCAGTTTTCAAATGCAAATGTAGCCACCTGCTTAAAAGCAGATTAATCTCCTGCAAAGTCTAACAGGATAGATGTCTTCCTAAGAGCTTTTGTCATTGTTTCTTGATCAAGGATACCTAGAATTCTCTCTGAGCACTATTATAACAACTCTCAAACACGATAAGGGCAGCCAACAATGAGGTGAAGCCAATTTATAGAGCACTCCTGAACTTTCTGGTAATAATAAGTCTGAAGTTTGTTACTCCCTAAATTACTTCTAAATTATGTCCCAAGGAAGAAATACATTTTCTAAAAAGTGTATACTCACGATGTTAAATTATCTAGGGATTCATGCACAAACCTAGTGTTTATCAGAAGTTTTAGAGTTACATTTTATCTAAATAAAGATATATACTTCTCAGGAAGCCCAAAGGTCTGCTTCTTAATTCAGTGCAGCAAGTATTTCATAAGCAAGGTAGATTTCACTATGAAACCAGGCTGTAACCAGAAGTGTTAAATCTCGATGAAGTAATTAATTCACATTGGAACTGAACCGAAACACTATGGATCACCTTCAAGAACAATGCTTACTGCACAGTATGAAGTCCATAGTCTGAGGGTTCTGGATGCATCTCAGATCAGGACATTCACAGTGTTATAACAACAGACACTAGTCATTTTAATGAAGAAAATATACAAATTTATTTGTTCTAATAATTAATATAATTTCAGTCTTTGAATAGAGAAAATGATTTAGAAGAAGCAGTGAATTACCTACCAAGCATTAGCTTTGTTCTGTATGGGGTGGGGTGGGGAGGGGGGAAATATGCTAACTACACTAAAAAAAAGGCACTGTAGGCTCCTGCTTAAAGAGGCCATTTTAATGGTAAAATTTGCAGTGATGACTTTTGAGTCACAAGAAGAATCAGTAATATTACAACACTGCCCAGACTGTAGTTCTAGTATTCTTCAGACTGAGCCAAATTAAGGCCTACAACACATCAGGTTTTTGCTGGTGCAACAGCAAACACAAAAAAGCAAACATTAGCTGCATTTGAGATGACTTCTTACAAGACAACTGTTTTCCAGAAACTGGGCAGTCTAGTTCTGCATAATTCTTTTGAACGGAACTGAAAGACAGCAAGGAGCTGTATGGACACTACATCTCAAAGACATTCTAGTCTTCTTTGAATAGCAGCTTGAAAGCAAAAGGTTTGTAACTTTCTTGTTATCAGGAGTGCTCTAATTGTTCCCAGAAACTTTCTCAAAACCATCGCCATTCAGAGAAATGGAGACAGCAAGCAAAGAAGACGTGTGGTGTAAAGAAGCTACAGTAAAGCAAGCTGACAGAAGGAAAAAGAAAAATGCCTTTGAAGGAAGGCATTCTGCAATATCCTACACAGCAAAAGTAAACCTTGGAAAAAATTGAAATCACATCATATTATCTTTGTCAGGGTTTAATAGATTCGGACATCACAAAGCAGACTTCAGTATAAGACTTGGAGCAGAGCTTTTCCCAACTATATTTATAGAACTTGCTTTTACTATTATGTGAAATAACAGTTTGAAATGGAAATCCGTTCTTCGATGGATATGGGGATTTAGTACTCTCTTTCCTAGGGAAAGTTTTCTTGTCTCCAACAAGCAACTTGAGTTTTAAGTACAAAAAAAACCCCAAAACAACAACAAAAAAATTGGATATTCAGAAACCTAAAAAGATTGTGCAGTATGTCAACACTACAGCTTGATCATGAAGTATCCCAGTTGTTCTGCAACATTTTCTGCTGATAAAGCAATACACCAGCTTACCTTGGTCCCACTAAAAACATCATTTACAGTGCTTTGACATCTTTCCACAGCACCATCTCCATTGAATTCCAAAGCAACCACTGGACCTAGAAGATAGTTTCATCTAGAATCAATACTACTTTTAGGCTTGGCATTGAAACAGTAGATTTCTCAACCCATAGAGAATTGTGAAGCTTGCAAGAAGCATTTTACAGTTCTTGCTTGAGCAGCCATAATGCAGGATAAAGCATTAAAAACACTTAACCATAGCTTCAAAGTACAGTGTTATCTGAGAAGAAAATATCTGCAATTCCATGCTCACTTTTGCAGAGATTCTGGCAGGATTCCAGTTTTACTTTTTGAAAGGCGGCAATGTCACAAAAACGCTAAGGAGCGCAGGGCATCGTGGAAGTGAGTCAGACTATACTGCTCAAATAGTGAGCCATTTCACAGACATCTGGAGTAGGACTGAGTCATTCAGGCATTTTTGCCTCAGTCCCAAGATAGCAAACTGCCTGATTTTTAGACTTCTTCTCACCCACTATTTGCAGATCCCCTTTCTCTGGTTTCATTCTGAACACGTTATTTCTTCCCACACGGGTGCAAATAGCCCTTAAACTAGACTGTCATCTGGTAAGTACAACAACTTTTGTCCTATTCTTGCAATGAGCATCACAGATCTCTTATGTTACTATGAAAAAAAAAAAACCTGCACGTTGCTACTAAGTTCGGGAGCCTGTATTGAGCTTTAGCATATAACAGATGGCGAGATATCAGTAATTCTGCAGGAAGAGACAAAAAACAACTACAGTGAGATGGATAAAAAGGCTTTAGAAATACTCTGACAGTACACCAGTTATAAACAGGAATTTAATATTTGCCTGCTTTATATACATCTAAACTGATTTGCTCAAACAGGTATACAGAACCGCTGAACATCTGGGTGGTTGAGCAGCAATGGTGGTAAGTTAGAGCCCAGAAGCATGAGCTGCTTTTGACCACCCCAGACAGATCTGCCTGTGCCACTGCTCCTGAGCTATGCGGTTGGACCACTAGAGGGGAGGGCAGAGCCGCCAAATACATGTGGAATACCTCATTTCTGATGCCTTCAGGAGTTTTGGCTCCTTTAGGGCCCCACCGGGGCTTCCAAAACTCATCTCAACTGGCTTTACACTATGCCCTTGAAATACAATTTTCTCCTTCGTTCCTTTTTCTTCTCCAGAACTCTCTAGTGACAGTTAGATTTCTATATCAAGAAGAGAAAGAAAACAACACAAACTCACCTTTTTCAAGCAGCGGAATGAATTCTGATGCACACTGCTGGAAAACTCTGTGAGCATCCTCTGCCTGCATTGAGACTTCTTTAGTCTGTACCAGCTGGAAATACAAATTTCTCCTTCGTTCCTCTTTCTTCTCCAGAACTCTCTAGTGACAGATTTCTATATCAAGAAGAGAAAGAAAACAACACAAACTCACCTTTTTCAAGCAGCGGAATGAATTCTGATGCACACTGCTGGAAAACTCTGTGAGCATCCTCTGCCTGCATTGAGACTTCTTTAGTCTGTACCAGCTGAAAGCCTTTGCCAGTCATCTGTTAACAGAGAAAGAATTCATGTTAAAAATGCTTCTAAGGCAGAGAGTTCAGCTCGAGTATCCAGGTTACACTGGAATAGACCCATTTTCTCCACACACATTAAGCCACAGAGCAAAGGGACCCTTTCTGCTCTTTTCAAAGACCATTTGCTGTTTCTATGTTTCTGTTTATTTTCATTCCATTCATCCAGATTTTCTCCTCTGCCCTAGCACACCTACAGGAGTAAATGTGAATGTTTTTGTTTTATATTATGGCCCAAGGTTGTGGGTTTTTTTCCCCACAATCCCTCACAAGCTGAAACTAATGGGAGTTAAAAGCATGCAGCATCTGGAGCCAAGCAGTTAGTTCTCAGTAGTCTCCAACAGTTCAGTCAAGCGTTAGTTCACTCTCATCTATCCACTGCTGAATTTTTCATTTTGGAAAAATAGTTGCAAACTTTCGAACACACACAGTTTTTTACTTCAAATCTAATACCAAACTAAAAGCATGCAGAGAAGCAGCAACTGTATTTGTACTTCCAAAGCATCCATTAATCTACAGAGCAGTAAGATTTCCACAGAATCTCACTACCTAGTCTTTTAGTGTCTTCTTAACTCTGATTTCTAAAGAACTACTAACACTGGAGAACACATCTATTATCCTCTTTACTGTAGCTATCCCTTCTTAGAAAAAAACAGCCCGTAAGTACCATCATCTCCCTTCACTCCAGCAGCTGTTAGTAACTCAGTTCCATAAAAATCCAGTTGGGCAGTGGGGGGAGCGGACATGGAAACACCCTACACACCCTACAGCTTTCTTTCCTTGCAGTTAAAAACCCAAGGG